AAAAAAAAAAAAAAAAAAAAAAAAAAGAAAGAAAGAAAAAAAGGAAGAAGCTCCCAGAGGCTCCCGCGGGTCCCCTGGTGCTTTCATTTTCAAGCTACCTTCGCCACCCAGGACTCACAGCTTGTCAAGGGCAGAGCCCAAGCTTCCCTCTCCTCAGCCTGTGTTCACACATTCCAGCTCTGCACACAGTCCCTGAATCCAGAGAACAGCCTGTGACAGGTTCGGCATGGGTCAGAGGGCCTCCCCAGGACCCAAAGAGCCGGTCAGGGACAAGGGCTGAGGGGTCACCGAGAACCCAGCAGGCAGGAACCCTGGTGTCTTTTCCACCCTGGAAGCTGGTGCACAGCAGTGGGAAGGCGCCTGTCACAGTGGCGGTGCCACCCAAATCTCCTCCCTCAGCCGCTGCCTGCCCCCCTCAGAAGCTCAAGATGGCCTTTCCCACAATAATGCCACAGAATGGGGCATTCAGAGCTCAAATGATGCCATGGAAGGGTCGTGTACTAGGGCCAGAGTCAGAACCAGCCCCACCTGGCCCATGATGTGTGATTCACTAAGAGCAGCACTTCTGTGGACCAGGGTCTGACCCTGGCCTTAGTTGGGGCTTGGTTGGTTGTGAAACTGAAACTTAACTAGCTGGGCATGGTGGTGAATGCCCATAACCCCAGCAGCACTCAGGAGGCTGAGACAGGAGGGTTTCCGAGAGTTCAAGGCCAGCCTGGGGTACATATTGAGTTCAAGGTCAGCCTGAAATACATAGCAAGACCTGTGTTAAAAAAACAAAAACAAAAATGCTTTTCCACACCCCCCACTGCTCTGGTGCTCCACCCTCACTCTTAGCTCCGGGCTCCTGCTAAACTAGTGTGGCCTCTCCCTTCAGCCAACGATGAGGTGTTCTCCGGCATTTACAAGATCTGGGAGATTGCAGGCGGGCTGTGCCTGGAGGTGGAGGGCAAGATGGTCAGTAGAGCAGAGGGTAAAACTGATGACTCGCTCATTGGTGGAAAAGCCTCCTCTGAAGGCCCAGAGGGCGAAGGTACCGGAAGCACGGTAGTCACTGCTGTGGATATTGTCATAAACCATGAGGTGCAGGAAACCAGCTTCACAAAAGAGGCCTACAAGAAGTACATTAAAGATTATATGAAATCAATCAAGGGCAAACTTGAAGAACAAAGACCAGAGAGAGTAAAACCCTTAATGACAGGGGCTGCAGAACAAGTCAAGCACATCCTTGCTAATTTCAAAAACTATCAGTTCTTTATTGGTGCAAATGTGAATCCAGATGGTGTGGCTGCTCTCCTGGACTATGGTGCGGATGGTGTGACCCCATCTGTGATTTCCTTTAAGGGTGGTTCAGAAATGGAAAGATGTTAATGGATTCGGCGGTTGCCTCAGATCTGTCACTTGTCATAACTGGTTGCTGCTTGTCAGCCACACAACACCGGGATTTTAGACAAATGGGACTGGTGTCATCTTGAATGCTTTGTTTATTTTGACAGTGATTCGTTTGGAGTGAAGGCATTGTTTTTTAGGAAAAAACCAAAACATGCCATGTAGGTTGTCTAAAAACAAAGTGCATTTAAACTAAAACCACCCCCCCAAAAAAGTGAAAAAAGGAGTAGACATGCAGAAAAAAGCAGAAATGGAAGATTTTTGTCTGTGTGTGTGGGGGGCGACTTTCCCATTCTTATGACACCTCTGGTTATATTAGTCAGAATTCATTTGGTTTCATATGACAGAAACTAAATCAAATTTGCTTAGACTAGAGAGGGCTTATTGGTTCAGGCAACTGGAAAACTCAAGGGATGGCTTCAGGTATGGCTGGATCCAGGGCTTCAAATGATACCATCAGGATGTTGCCTTTTCTTTTGTGTTTTCATTCTTAGATTTTTCCCAAGAGATCTGGGAGGAGAGAAAAAAAAAAAAGATCCTATTAACTCCAGGCTTGAATAGAAATCTCTGAAGGATAGCAGCTCTTCCCTGTGGTTCAGGAGATGTTCAGACCAATTCCCCTTAGACCTGGGATGGCCACTGCTGCCCAGAGTGTTTACTTTTGGCCCTGTGGGGAGGAGGGGTTGAAAGATAGAGAGGGCAAGGAAGGGTACAACAGCTGTGTAGTGTCCGTGAGGGAGGCTCCTGTGCACGGGATGGGGCCCATGTGCCACTGGATGGGCTGCCTTCCAACCGGAAGTCTCCACAAGGCTGAAGACTCGTAGGATGTAGGGGACAGTCTGCAAAGGTTGATGAAGAAAGTAAAAAGGATTTTGAGAGGTATTGACAACAACAACAGCTAACACGATTGACCTGGCTCTCGGCCAAGTGTTTCCCACAGACGGTTGTGTGTCATCTGCACCTTCAGTTTCATCCTCTGCACCTTGGATTGTCCTCACTTGCAGACAAAACTGAGCTTTCCAGCGGTTAGGTGATGCTCCTCTGATCACACAGCTGATAAGATGCAGAGCCAGGCCATCCTGGAGCGGAGTTCCAGCACATCAGAACCGCCACCCACCATGGCAACAGTCCCGCCTCAGCCTCCTGAGTGCTGGGATTATGGGTGTACACCACCACACCCAGCAAAATGATTTTGTCAGATGTGACTGTTCAAGGTCCCTTTGAGGTTATGTGAATGGTAGTTTTTGAAAGCTTTCCTGACTTCCCTAAATCCTCCCACCTTGCACACAAATCCCTGCCACGGTGGCTTTGTGGGGGAATAAGAAACAAGCAGTTTCCACGACCACACCCAGCCACGGGTCAGAGTTTCTGACCCAGAGCACAAACTGTTGTCACAAGTGGGGCCCAGGGACAGTCGGATGAATTTCCAAGGGGGCTCTGGATATGGCTGTCAGAGGCAGGCAGGCTTTGCTGCCCAAGGTGGGGAGGGCCCTGGTGCTGGGCATAGGGCCTGGTCTGAGGCCAGGCCTCCACTGGCTGCTGGTGCAAGAGGACAGGGGGCAGGGAGCCAGGCAGAGCTTGGCAAGGGACTGGAGACAGGGAACCCAACTAGGCTGGTAAACTCTGCGAGGAGGTCTGACAGGCTGGGTCTGGCCGGCGAGGGCAGTGTGGGCCCTAGCAGCCCCCAGGCCAGTGGGAGGGATTCAGGAATTGAGAGGCCACCTGTCCCGCTGCCCACCTGAGCAGACTCAGAGGCCGTGAGGACACCCTCAGAACCTTCATTCGATTTCTCTTTCTTTACCTTTGAGAAAGGTCTCACTAAGTTGCCCAGGCTGGGCTCGAACCTTGCGATCCTCCTGCCTCAGCTTCCCAGAGTGGTAGGGTTACAGGCAGGTGCCACCACGCCCAGCTGGACTAGCTCGCTTCTTCACCCCCCTCCTTCTTTACCCCCGCTCCCAAGGAGTGAGCTGGCTCAGGGCTCAGGGGCCCCTGGAGCTGTGTCTCCACAATCAGATGCACCATGGCTGCTGCGTCTCCAGGCCCCACCGGGAGGCTGATTCCTCTTCCACGCAGTCCCGTCCCTCTCGGCCCCACACTGCGGAAGTGGCTACGCAGCCGGGGCGCTTTGACTTCTCTGCCTCCTGGAAGCAGTCTCCGGTCCTCCCTGCTTCAGGCTGAAGGGACGGGCCAGCTCCGCAGCAGTGCCAGGCCGCCGGGTCCCCTGCCCAGTGCGGCTCATACAAGCTTTTCGCACCCTCGCTCCAGCAATCTTCCCTTCTCCAGCCCCACCCTGCATTCTAACTCCCTGGAGAAGAGCCAGGGGGACTTTCTGCATGTTGGGGGCTGCTATGACTCATTCCAGTTTTCTGATGACTCTGCCCCTGGCCTGTCACCCCTCCTACTGGTCAGGAGTTGCAAGCCTGTGATGAACGGTCTCGTTTCTAACTTTCAGACGCTCTGGATTATAAAAAAAAGTCTGATGAGTGAGTTGCCTGCTTTAAAATTTGAGGATCAAGCCGGGGATTTAGCTCAGTAGTTCCGCCGCCTGCCTTGCAAGCACAAGGACCTGAGTTCATCCCTGTACCAAAAAAAACCAAACACACACACACACAAAAAAAAAAACGACTTGAGAATCAGATTTGACTCCAGTTTCCTTCTTCCACCACACAGACCGGCCTGGGAGCTTCAGGAACTGGAGTGTGAATGTGTGTGTGTCAGGGGAGTTTTAGGTGGCCCCAGCCTCTCTCTCTCTCTCTCCTTTCGGCTCGCATTTCAGAAGGTTTAGTCCTTTCTGCATGGTTGGCCAGCTCCAGGCAGAAATGGCGTTGTGTCCAGAAAGTGGCCATGGCATCTGCTGTCTCACACACACACACACACACACACACACACACCCTTCTCTGGGCACCCCCTTGAGCCAGGGTTGGGAAAAAGGGGCGAACAGCTGTCTCCCTGCTGATACCTGGCCAGAAGGCTGCAGTGGGCTTGGTTGGAGGCACCTCCGACCGGGGATTCGATCTCAGCGCCTCCGCTGTGACGTGCGGCACCTCCCACTAACACTCAGGGGCACGTGACCACATCCCTGCGGCACCGAGACCCCAGGCCCACACCGAGACGGTGCCAGGGAACCCGCGACCGCCAGCCCTCTACCCTCCACATCCTCCATGAGCTGGGACCCGGGGCCTCACCATGACCCTCTGAAGGTCCTGGGGCAGGTGGCAGCTCGTGGCTGAGCAGACACCGGAGCAGGGCAGGATGCATCCGCCTCTCCTTCTTGCCTTGGCCTCCATGTGTGACAGGCCGTGCTCTTGGCTCCTGGTCCTCAGCTCTGGACTCAGCAGAGAAGACAGGGTTGTCCTGATTGTTTCCTCTAAGGTGCACTCTCCTCCAAGGTCCCCACTGGGAAAACCCACCAAACCAGCTGGGCCTCTCTCCCCCAGGGACAGGGTCCCAGGCAGCCCTCACTGGGTGCTGACCTCTGGGCCTGAAGGTTCTTACCAGGACCTCCTGCAGGGACAGCTTCTTCCAGACCTGGTCAGAAATGGGCAGCCACCCTGGCCACCTGTTTCCCTCCTCCCTGCCCACATCTCCTGGGTTACCAGACTGAAGTGTCTGTATCTGGTTCCTGTTCAGGGTCAGGGCCTGGATGTGGGAATTCCCCAAGTTCCCCAGTTCCTTCCCCCACTGGCATGACCTTCTTAACATTTAGTTTCATTTAGAGCTTGAACTGGGGCTCAGTAGGAAAATCGATCAGTGCTATAATCAATTGGTGATGCCTACCATGGGCACCAGAGCGGCACAGTGGCAAGGTTTTTGGTTCCCTGTTTCAGGTGTTTAAAATTCTTCATGTTTCCCACCTAGAATTCACCCGGACTCTCTGTCCACTCTTCCATGGCTCAGGATTGGGGCCAGGGGCCCTATGTGCCAGGTGGTTGTCACCGTATTCTCTACAGTCTTCTTTAAACATGCCACATACTTGCACATGCCGTTCTCCTTGCCAAGACTCCTTTCTCTGTCCTTAAGTTATGAAATCTCTCATATATTTCACCCTTCTGTTGCCCTTGCTCTATGGTGCTGGCAAGATGAACAACTAGCACCTGATGACGGTACCCCTCTTGCTTTCGGACACGTCTGGGTTTGTGCTCTAAATCACACACTCTCAGCCCGCTGCTGGCACTCAGGGTGCCAGAGTCCCTGGTGTAATTTTTTAGCAGCCTGTCTGCACCCACAGACAGGGATCATCAGAGTGGAGTGGGTTTAAACTGGTGGGAAGAGGCTAAGGCAGGGGGATTGTAAGATCAAGGCCAGCACGGGCAACTTGGCAAGATACTATCTCAAAAACAAAATAAGCAGGGTGTGGTGGTGCACGCCTGTAATCCCAGCACTCGGGAGGCTGAGGCAGGAGGATCGCTGTGAGTTGAGACCAGCCTGGGCTCATAGTGAGTTTCAGGTCAGTGTCAACTACATAGACCCTGTCTCAAAAACAAAAAGATGCCCCCCACCCCACCAAAAAAATAAATAATAAAGGAGCTGAGGATACACAGTGGTAAAGCACTTGCCTGGCGTGGGGAGGCCCGAGTTTGAACAAATAAGCAGGGTGGTGGTGCACGCCTGTAATCCCAGCACTCGGGAGGCTGAGGCAGGAGGATCGCTGTGAGTTGAGACCAGCCTGGGCTCATAGTGAGTTTCAGGTCAGTGTCAACTACATAGACCCTGTCTCAAAAACAAAAAGATGCCCCCCACCCCACCAAAAAAATAAATAATAAAGGAGCTGAGGATACACAGTGGTAAAGCACTTGCCTGGCGTGGGGAGGCCCGAGTTTGAACCTCAGTACCCCAGTGACTTCTGAGTGAGTCTCCACTAAGTGCATGAGAGAAGAGCCCCGGGTTCCCAGGAGCCTGTAGCGCAGGTCTGGGGTGGAGGTGTAAACAACCTAACCACAGAGGCCCAGACCCTGCTGGCGGCATCGGAAGGCAAGAGGTCTAAAAATACAGCCACAAAGAGGAAGTGGGCACCAGGAACGGGCTCAGCCAGTTCTGCTCTCGCTGCTGCCCTGGCCAGGCTGTGACAGGTCCCGGGGACAGGCTAAAGCCTCACTGAGGTCTTCATACCTGGCACGAACTTTCCCTGGACCCCTCCCCCAGGGACCTCCTCTTCCTGCAGGTCTCAGAAAAAAGGCCTCTTCTAGAAAGGCCCCTCTAACGCCACCCTCCCCCACACATCCTGGATAGATTGGTCCTTCCTGTTATACGTCCTCCACGACTCTGTCCTTAGATCTTTACTGATGTGACTATCTACCCAATATCTGCCCATCTCCCTCACATGACTCCAAGCCAAGTTGAGAGCCTACAGGGGCTTGAAATCACAGGCCTGAGCTCAAATTCTGTTCTGTCGTGTACAGATGCTGTGTGACCCTGGACACATTTTTGTACCTTATCTCTAAATCTGTCTTACCTGAGAAGTGGAGCTGGCACCAGGGGCACCAGGGGCCGCCCAGCTCAGATCCTGGCTGGGTAATGGGCTTTGAGGCCCAGGGAATACTTAGGGTGGCCCTGCACACACCAGCCCCTCATACATAGTGTCACTTCTCCACTCAAGGGCAGTAATTGGCTCTCGAGAAGTGGCTGCTGAATGAATGTCTTCATTTATGCACCTCCTGGTTCTAAAAGAGACGCGAGACAACAAGATGACAGATGCTACCGAATGCTTTGCAAACTGGAAAGCTCATAAATTTCTAGTTGTTACCTGTGGACAGCCCCAATCCTCCCGTGAACTAATCTCCCTCCTAGTAACAGTCTATTTCTTTCATTTTGCTTTGTTTTTTGAGACAGCTCTCTCTAAGCAGCCCAGGCTGGCCTTGAGTGCGTGGTGATCCTCCTGCCTCAGCCTCCCGAGTGCTGGGACCACGGATGTGTACTACCACCCCGTTAAATGATCTCTTATGGACACTCTCACATCACTGCACTGGTCACTTCCAGCCTCCCAGAGTGTCTGTCTCTGGTGACAAGGAGAGTTTGTGTCCCAGGAACGGAACAGAGACTTGCTGCAGAAACTTCAGTGGGCTGGGCCCACTCTGCCCTCGGGACCTCAGCCGCTTCCAGGATTGAGGACCAAGAAGCTCCCAGGTGCTGAAGATTCCCAGATCTGGGAGTGGTCCATCCAGCACAGCGCAGGAGCTCTGAGGGAACAGGGTGCGTGTGAGGACCACGAGGCCGTGTTTAGTTAAACCGTGGCTCTTGGCGGAAGCCCAGGGAGCTAAATAATTGACGGTGTGGTCAGCAGCTGACCGCTGCCTTCGAAGCAAGGCTCAAATCGATCTGGTCAACTTTCACTGCTTTCCCAACTTTCACCCTCCTGGGCCCGGGGCTCAGAGGTGAGCCGCCCAGTCCTAACCAGATGGGTCACGGAGGGCCCTGTGTGGCTCAGTCCTGCCCTGTTCTGGGGTCTCTGTCTCTCAAGAGGCTCATGGGTGCTGAGCGGGTCACAGGAGGAATAGGACCATCCGACTAGGGCCGTCTCTGGGTAGGAGGGTGAGGCTTGGCCATTGGGTTACTGGGTTAGAAGGGGCCTGGGTATGGAAACTGGTAAACAGTCCCCTCTGAGCTCTAAGTGACCCATAAACCACAGGAAGGGATGAGGTGGCCCAGGGTGGACACTGAGCCAGACACGGACCCCTCACAGGCACTGGGAGGCCACCAATTTCTCAAGGAGAGGGACAGAGAAGGAGCCACCCCGGAGGCTCAAGGTCGGGATGAAGAAGGTGGCGAAGAGGTCGGGGAGAATCTGACTAATGGGGTGCACTGGCTGAGGGGGACTGTGGGTGACCCCTGGGGAGGGAGTTGCAGGAGAGTTGGGTGGGGTGGGAGGACAGCGGATTTGCTCATGGGGGGGTCTCTAGAGACAGGGATGGGTGCACAGGACTTCCATGGATGACGCAGAGCGGATGCAGCCCTGGCCTCAGGAACACCTGGGCCTTACACCTGGCACAGCAGCTGCTTTCACAAATCCTCATTTTCACATGCACAGGTAAGCCTTTGTTTTATTTGCTGTACTGGAGATCAGGTCCAAGGCTTTATTCATGCAAAGCAAGTACTCTGCCACTGAGCTATATCCCCCCTTTTTTTTTTTTTTTTTTTTTTTTTGAGACAGGGTCTTGCTATGTAGTCCACACTGGCCTTGAACTCATTATGTAGCCCAGCTTGGCCTCAAACTCAATGATCCTCCTGCCTCAGCCTTCCAGAGTACTGGGATTACCGGTGTGTGGCATCATGCCTAGCAGGAGGGAGCTCTTTCCAGGAGAAACTGGGGGTGGGGAGAGTGGCCCTCAAACCAGGAGGGGTCTCATAACGCAAGGGGGCCCCATCCAGTGGCAGGAGGATCCCTGGGGCTGCAGTCTGGAGGCCACTCTCCAGGAGATCCCCCCTCTACTGGTGCCCTGATGCCTGGGCCTCGGGCGAAGTCTGTGGATCCTTTCTCAGAACCATGACTTCGTGTGTCAGATAAAACACACAGGACAAGCCAGGCGTGGTGGCACACCCCTGTAATCCCAGCACTTGGGAGGCTGAGGCAGGAGGATCACTGTGAGTTCGAGACCAGCCTGGGCTACATAGTGAGTTCCAGATCTGTATCAGTCTCAACTACATAGTGGGGCCCTGTCTCAAAAAACCAAACCAAACCAAAACAAACCAAAACAAAACAAAAAAACCCAAAAACAGGACACCAGAGAAAACGGCCCACAGCCCAGGAGGACTGGGATGCCGACGGGGGTGAAAAGACAGAAGGAAGGTGTGAGGCCCTGGTACAGCTGGGCAGGAAAGGAGCTCTTGGTAGGGCTGGCAGTGCCAAGGCCACATCAGTCGGGTGCCTGGCTGCCCGCTGGGAGCAGGAAAGTCAGTGCTAGTTCACCTGGGGGAGTTGTTCGGAAAAGGATCAGGTGGCTCATACAATTTTCAGGGAAACTGGAGAAACAGGCCCGACGGGAACCAGCAAGGTGAGGCTGCCAAGGTGACACGAGGAAGCTGTGCCTGCCAGCTGGTCACGGTGGCCCAGCCCGGCTGGCATCTCCAGCCACGGAACTGACGGCCACACACACGCCCCTAGACCCACTCTGCTGAGGCAGCCTTCCAACCCCGGACAGACCCTGTGCCGAGCGTCACTGAAGGTCCCTGGAGATTCTAGCCCAGACCCGGCGTGGTGGTGGCACACACCTGCCGCCACAGGGAAAAAAAGTTTCAAGGCCCGGAGGGCGTGTCCTCTTGCCACAACGGGCCTGGATTCTTGTCTCTGAGTGCAGAGCGTCTGCCCGGTTCAGCTTCCGCGGTGGAGCTGGGTCTCCGGCCCCCACCCTGCGGTTCCGTGCATGCGGGCCAATCAGGCAGGGTGGTAAAGTGCTGGTTCCGGTGTGTGAGTGATGCGTGCTATCTCGTCTCCCCAGGCCCTCTGCTGGGAGCTCAGGCCTGCAGTGGTGCCCAGCGACCCTCAACTCGTCACTCAGAGGACAGTGGCTCCTGCCTCTCCCCACAAGGAAACACAATCAGGCCCGAGGTGCACAATAGGGCCTTTCAGGAAACTGAACCAACCTTCCA